ACTCGGGGAAGAGCCCGCAGCGCCCGACGCTCCCGGGACGGGCTGGGGAAAACGGAGCACAATAAATAGATGGGCACAAAGGCCTCAGTAACGCGCTGCGTGGTGGTTCCTGGGAGAGAGGAGCGGGCAGAGGAGCAGCGAATCATGTTTTTCCGTGTAGTTTTACGGCAGCGAAACACACCTCAGCTGCAGAGCGCGACTGCTCAGAAACACAAAAAAGGGGCACATGGTTTCAATGATTTTATTTTCCCCAGATGAAACAAGTCAAAACAGTTTCTGAAGCGTCTTTTTAATCAGAGATAAGAGTAAACAATGGTATAAAATGGTAACAACTCAAGAAAATTTCCAAAATTCTGCTCATGATTGACACACAAGTCTTCCATTGCCCCCAAGTACCATTAAGTAAAAAAAAAAAAAAAAAAAAAAAAGAACCCAATTCCCCCAAGACCCGGTAAGAAAAAAAAAAAAAAAAAAAAAAAAAAAGAGCCAAGCCTATGGTGTGGCTGCCTTTCCAGCCCAGTGATTCCTCCATACAGTTGCAAAATCAGAGCAGCAATATTCACTTCTCTCTTGAAGTACAGACAAGCAGGACTGAAACACGTATTTTGTGGAAAGTTAAAAACAGCCCACCAGCACTGGTCTGCCCTCAACTCAAGTCCTAGCTTAGCCAACTGTATCCAGTAGGCCTAGGAAAAAAAAAAAAGTCTTCAAAACCGAGACTTATAACAGAAAAAAAAAATTAAAAGGCGTGTATTATGGTAGTTGTCTTAGGGGCAATAAGCAAAGCCCCTCCCCACCATTTCAGAAGGTTATAGCTAAGACTTCAGAGGGGCTTGCAGCACCAAAATAGGCAGCAAACGCTAGCCTGGTCCCTCATGACAGCAGAGATAACAAGCTATAACCTCCTTAGCAGGTAGCACCCCAATGTTTTTGTTGTAGCACAATCCAATTCAATGCTTGTAGTCCAGATCACTCACAGCAGGACTGAGGAAAGTTTCTCTGCTACAGCCACGGTGGCTTGGGCTTGAAAACACGAGACCCTGCATTCTCCGTACTCGTAAGTGGCTTCTGGAATGCATCGAGGAAACATGCTGAACCTGCACTGGAGCAAACTGTCTTTGAAATGGCACCTTAACCTTCCTGCAGTCCACAGCCAGCCTAGTCCATCTTGAGTTGATCCTAGTAAAAACCAGTTTATCACAAACAAAAATAACCTCTGCAAATACCGATGGGACAACGATTTAAGTACAAAATGGCTTAAAATGAAATCTGCAGCTTTTGTTTTTGCCCTAGTAATTGGCTTTATCCCTTCTGTTACGTAAAGCCTTTGACAGGTCTGGATTGTGCTCATTTCAGATTCGCTGGAGGTTTCTGGGGAAGGGGTATCTCGATTAAAGATCACTTGGGAATGTGGAGCTCAACACATCTAGACATTTAAAGACAAGTTCGTGTTTGCTCAAGGCCAACCCATAGCCTTACTGCTCTTCTGTCCACTGGCCACTAGCCACATGGCCATTAACGCGGTTGGAGCCATTGCTCGAAGTGCTGAAAACTCCTTTTGTGCTGTTGGAAGTCACATCCTCCTCTTCAGAGCTGCTCTCTACATCACTGCGATCATCTTTTGATACCTAAACATTTCGGATGAAATTTGGAAGTGGGAAAGGGAGGCGGGAAGATGATAAATTCACAGGAAACAGCAGTTAGAAGGTGGTGTCCATGGGATTAACCAGCCTCAGTCAGCTACAGTTACCTTCTACGTTTGATTTTGAATCACTTCAAACTCATGAATAGGAGCTTGTAATCACATACCGAATGCAAGACACAAGTTGAAATACAGAGTCTGGAAATATGGGTTCCATTTTTCAAATAATCTGTACATCTTAGGGGAAAGTATTACAGGTCTTTTGCTCTCACCAGATTCACGGAGGACACTAGATCTTTCGTTGTTCTTTTCTTCCAAGAGCTACATTTGTTAGGTAAAGGACGCTTTTCCAAACAACAAATTCATTTTAAATTAACAGACTCTTCAGACACATCTGAATAGTTAGTGGGTATGACAACAAAAAAGTCTGTCCTATAGAGAGTTGCTTTGATATTTCAAAATTAGCCAGCTATATTTATCATACTACCGTGCCCAAAAAGTGCCTCCCATTTTCACAGCTTGTATTTTATACATGAGAACTCTTCATTTGAGCCAAACATGTTTGGACAGTGGGCTGCAGAACAAAGGCAGTGCCTAACGCCAGATCAGGAACAGAACACGTTTCTCAGCCAACAGAGACCTACATCTACTCTACAGATTCATGTTTTTAAACAGTTAAAAGACTGACTGAACATCCAGCTGATTTTGATTTGTATGTGGGATGTGAACCTCTGAAAATACATCCAGGCATAGCTCTGGCCAGGAGTCTGCACACTTTGCTGTCGGCTGCTCTCAGAGTGCCACGGGAGGGCAGTGTACCAACACTGCAGAGCCAAGCGCACAACAAGGTGAAGGGAAGAAGTTGTAAACCCAACTGCAAATAAGTACCTTGGTTGCTGGCTAAGTGCCAGAACCATAAACTCACTATTGCTGAGAAGTGACTGCCTGAATGGCATATGCTTTACATACCCCAAGGCAGGCTTCTCCACACTTGTGTGTCTGCAACTAATAGTCCTCATTTACTTAATATGCAAGCACTTATTCTGTGGCTAGTGGGTTTCCACTGTGTTCAAGCTGTGTTCAAGATTTAATTCTATTCTGCTTGCTTGAAGTTGGGATTATGGGTTTTGAACAGCACCAGGCAGGAAGTTTTCAAACAGAGGACGATCTGGCAGAAAGCCAGGTGAAGTTAATGATTTCCAGGATGGGTTTTGACAGGCCTGTTGGATATACTGGCTTCTGTCTGTTGCCAAAATTTTGATATCTTTCTCCACTCCCCGCCCCTCCCACATTGGAGGTTCAAAGGGTCACTGCAAGGAAGCAGAAATCCCTTGACATGTTTCCCATGTCTCAGAATTATTTGGGGAACAAGTGACTGTGCTATTCTTGTACTTCTCACAAGAATGATTGGATTTCTGCTGTCCTCTTTCATTCAATAGAGTGTTAATGAGCACTAAAAAGACCCAGGTATCAGAACTTTTAGCTGTGGGCCTGTAGAAGTAGAAAGATAAAAGGTCACACAGCCAGCTGACAGCAGATGAGAACAAACTGCAGGATCCTGCTTTAACCTTTGGGAAAACCTGTGTTTTAGCATACTGTCAGGACCAGCACTCTATCAATCAGGGAGACAAACATTTTAAGAGAAGGCACAACCCATCTGAAGCCCCAAGACCATAGCTTTGCACTTGTCTTAGTCTAGAAACAGACACAGATATATTTCAGTGTACAAACAGGAGCACAGATTACACTTACATGCAAAGGATGAAATTGTCCAGCTCCAATCTGGCACAGAGAAAAGGAGTGAGAAAAGAATGAAGTATACAGAGCTTAGAGTCCTGTCTCTGGCTAGGTCACCTGGTCAAGAGAGAAGCAAGGAAAGGAAAAAGATGTAGACCTCAAGATAAAGAAACAGCTACACAGACAGAAACTAAGACACTTGCAGTAGCAGCTGTGGGGAGCAGATGATAAGATCATGTGCATACTCTGAAACATGCCTTCCCCTGACAATCACACACAACTATAGTATTTTTCAAGGTTACATTCCAAGGGTAGGGGCAGCATAGAAGTCAAAAGAAAAATAAAGCAGAGCCACAAGAGAAACTCAGATCTGAATACCAAGCATCTGACAAAAATGGCATTTGTGCTAGCAAATCAGCTGCCCTCTTTTGGTAGCTCTGAAGGAAGCAGCTTCTCCTGCTGGGTTAGCTCCTAGTCAGATTAGTTCCTAGACTGGCCTGCTCTGTCTCATGCTACTTCAGTTAAACTACGCCTTTTTGCTTGGTAAATCAGGCTGCAGCAGCAGGTTAACATTGTTCGCTCTTATGGCGGCATCCATTAGTCCAGTGACAACCAGCGGGCTCTACTGTGTTTCTGATAACTCTTCCTCCTCCTCTGCATGCTGTAACTCACTGCCTGGGTGTGCACAGACAGTCAGAAGCTCATGTTTTTGCCTCATCACAACCCAAGAACCAGTTGAAGTTGAAAAGATGGAAGTTGAAAAACATCCTATATGATAGTTCAAAGAAGAGCCTCCTACCAGCTTAAACTTCGAACACAGCACGTAACAGATCTATCACCATCACTATTACAACATCTGAATGCATCAGAAAATGGTGGTGTTTACCTGCATGACCAGAACACGGAGGGAAGCATCCCTGCCTTTGTATGCTCCTGGCAACTGAGCCTGCGGAGCAACCAGGGTAAAAAAAAAAAAAAAAAAAAAAACAACCCACCAACAACCACCTACGCTCCTACGAAGCGCTCCTGATTCGAGTATCTCAGAGCCAGTACCATCCCTCATGGATCACAGAAGGGCCCACTTTCTTGGCTGCTATGATTCTTTCACAGGGCTTGTAGAAAAGTAGGCACAAAACGGTCACCAACAATCTTACCTTTCCCCGCACGAGGGCCTTGTAGGCAATGCGAATGATGAGATAAGACCAAATGATATGCAAGATCTGCAAGGTTATCAAGAGGCCATTGAATAGCCACCATGAAGGATAAGGGCCAATCAACTCCCAGCTTTCAAATAAGGTTGTATTCAAAATCCTAAAAGAGATCCAGAAATACATTAGAGATTGGCTGCTCTGGTAACATGGCTTCCATGTTCAGATGACTGGCCAGACGCACAACAGTTTTGTGTCTCTTTAAGCATCTGTTGCTTTTCTCCTGTCAGAGTGGTGATGCCTCTAGTCTCTTGCCAGAGTTAGGAGACAGGCCAAAGCTAATCAGAAATATTTGAACTGAGCAACAAACGGGAGAAGATGTTCTACAGTTTGGTTACATATACAGATCTGTTGCCAGTTTCCTTCTCAACAGCGTGAGCTTTTATAACAACTTTACAGGAAGTGATGTCAAACTGCAGTGGTCATCAAAACAGCTGTCAACGCATTCATACTCGGGCAAACTTCACCCATATTTAAAGATCAGGAAGGAATTTTGTTCCCAGTAGGCCTCCCTCCCTATGTGCTATTCCCTTCTCTCAGATTTTTATAGATTCCTCCTGCCAAGCTGGAAGATTGGAAACTGCTCTGTGGACAAAGCATTGTGCATTCTTTCATTAACGTTTTGCTGCTGTTCTTGCCACTGATTTATTGCCAGTACTTCAGTAATTTGATAAACACTTCAGACTTTATGAAGTAGAGAGGTGTGGAGAGACCTTTAAAGATGCTATTAATTTCACATAGCTTTTAATAATTTCATAAGAAAACAAAAATGAGCTTTCAAAGAAGAATCCACACCCCCTCACAAAATACAGCTACAGAAACACATATTTCAACCATAAACTGGCTGTGAATTAGGTGCAAATTCCAGAGGTCTGTTGATGTTTCATACTACAATTAGGAAAGGGAATATGCATGAAGTGAAATAGCAGTAGGGTCTGTGATACCACAGAAAATTTGCTGGATTCCTCTATGAAGTTGAGGAATTACATTACAGCCAGCGGAAAACACATTAAAGATTTACAGGACTGCCGAACAATAGCATGATGTAAGAGCATCACCTCATGACAGACAACAGCAAGAAAAACAGCAGCAACTATCTCATCTGTCAGTGGGAGGCAGCCTATGGAGACACAGGTACCAAAGTTATTCCTTATCCAGATTCCTTTGATGCATTTATTGGAAAACAAGTGAGAGCTTTAATTGCAATCCTGATACCAAAACATAAATTAAGTTCCGTTTCCCCCATCTTCAAGGCACTCAGGACAAACGGGAACGCAGGCTGCCCGTTGCCCATGAACTAAATATACAGAGCAAAACCAGAACAAACTGAATAATAATCAGCTATAATCAAATTTTCAACATACCCTTTCAACAGAAACAACTAGACAACATGTCGTCACCAGAAAAACCTCACCAAGCCTGACCTGTTGGGGTAAGAGGGAATCTCATTCTAGGATGATGAACTATAAGCCATTTAGCCAGGCTTCTACCTCCAAGAAACCCAAGACCTATTTCAGGCTCCAAACAATCAAGGCATAAGGATAGGACAAGAGCTTCATAAGAAATCAGAAGAGGCAATAATGACTAAGCCAGATACTCAGAAATCAAATTTACCTCAGGAGACCGTGCCTCATTTTGTATCTCTATTTCCAAAACTCCTTAAAAATCAAGAGAAGCAAACAACTCTGAGTCTTTCCGAACAGACACCAGCTGACTCAGCTCCAGCTAATAAGCACTGTCATCACTTTGCAGTAAGAGGAGAGGGGGCAGCTGCACTTTTAGGATTCTAATCACTCTTCACATTCCCTCAACTGACTGTTGAGAGGTTTCTTCACATGTCTAGTTCCAAACTAGGATTGCTCCAAACAATATTAACGTCGTCTGCAGCTTCAGGCTGCCTTGAGGGACAGGCTGTAATGCTTGCAAGACATCTTAATACAAAGGCTTTGCTTAAAGGATTGGAGGAACACACAAGACTTTACAGCTCAAGGTGCTTACCAGAAAGGATAAATGCCCAACCGTGTAACAATGAATACAACACCAAAGAGCATGAAGAAGGCATCGCACAGACGTTGGTACTTGGCATAATTGGCTAGCTTTGCAGCCTAAAGAAGACAAGAAACATTAAAACATTATTCCCTTTGCGCATTCATGTAATTACCAGGCTGTAGAGCTCTGATACCCTCAAACCATCACATTTCTAAGGCGTTTGGAATATTTAAGGATTATTCTTAGCACTAAAGCAGTTACGAGGAAAAGCTGACAAGGCAGGATCAGCAGCACAAGTTTTATGGCATGTTTAATGCTGTTTATCCGGAATGGGAAAGTCAGCTTGCTCCCCTGAGACCACACTAGCATTAGGTACACAAAGATTAGAAAGGAAACATCAAGCAAACTCACCTCTAAAAGGAAATCTGATGCATCGTGCAGGCACAGCACCAGAGTTCCAACCCGCACCATATTATTCATATAAGAGAATGTGATGAGTCCAATTGTAGCCAAATGATGGACAAACATGATCAGGAAGTCCTGGAAGCAGAAAAATGAATGAAGACCCTTTGGCTGTCAGACAAATACGAAGGTTTGAAACACAGCCACAAAACTGACTAACGGGGGTCACAGGATTACTTCAGTTCAGACTCTGACTCCACTTTTATATAAAACGTAGCTCATCAGACAGCAACACCCATCATCACTAGAGGTTCCAGAAAGGTCTCGGTCCCAACATTTGTGCTTCTGTAAAGTCAGAGCTTCACATACACAGGCTCAGTGCAAGTGTCTCTGGCATATACATGCACACTAGAGGTAAGTATGGCTGCAAACCCCACTGAAAAGACTGACAGGACAACATATGCTCCTTATTTTTGGCTCCTTTTGGTTTTACAGTCATATTGCTAGTCTTTTTGGGTCTTGGCACAAACTTTAAGTACGCTGCTGTTACTACTGTCAGTTTGCAAAAGCCTGCCAGAGCATAGCAGGCAAAGAGCACGAGATAATCCATCAGCAAGACGTAGGCCACTACATTAAAAAAGAAAATGGTACTATGCACGTACATTCAGGGCTCTTTTTTCAGTTGCACCTCTGGGTACAACACTTGCACTCCATTTGGTGTCTTGCCGTGTTTGCAGTGGGGAACGCAGTCCACTTTGTTAACGTCAGAATACAAAATTAAATGTTATAAGTGGTATCATAGATGCTGTTAGCCACTTCCTTTCTGTAGCTCAAAGATCTCCTGCAGTGCCTGCCTCACCTGCTAATATTTCAATACAGAAGAAACCCCAAACAAACTTTTCTTTTTGAACAGTTAATGCAAAAACTGGGATAATTTACTACTTTGCAGTTTGTATAACTGAAGCAATAAACCCTGATTTACTATGAATTGTTTTCAACAGTAATAATTTGCCAGATCCTAGAATGCAACACAATGGAATTAGATTCCAGCAATCATGACCAGTCATCATTCTGCTACACACATGGATGAAGAATTGCTTTCCAAAAAAACATTTATTATTGCTTTAATGTTTGCCATTTGCTCATCCTGCTCAGCGAGGTAATGCTTAGAGTATCTTATTTTCATGTGTTCTTGCAAGCCTTCAATCTCTTTTTATGCAATGATTTGATCAACTGTTTATTGGGAGGTATTGAGTGATTCCTTCTTTCCTGGGAAGGTGAAAAGGACTCTCAAGGAGATACCAGGTTACATACCAGGCCTGCCCCTCCCTTTCCCCTAAGGGCTGTGAAGTGACCACAAAAGGAGGCAGGCTACAAAAAGATGCGAGTGAAGAGGAAGGTATAGTTGTTATTACTCTGCTTCAGCTTTACTGGCCAGGCACATCAACATTTTCTGTTAGTCCTCTCTATTTAGCAAAGTGGTTAGTGCAATTCTGGTTAATCTCACCTTCCGTTTAATGTCTGTAAACTGAGAAAACATGAGAGACCAATAGAAGGCCAACTCCAAGATATAGTAATAATAAAGCCTGGATGTTAGAGGCTGGAAAACAAACAGAGATAGCACAATTAAAAGACAAAGTACTTCAAAATTTACATTAAAACCCACTTTTTCCTTCCCATCCCACTCTGTTTCTCCAGAATGCTGAGGCATAAGTTAAAAGATCCAGAATTAAGGTTTAGTGAAAACAAGCTTAAGCAACAGAAGTCTTACTATGCGCTTAGTCACACAAACTTGTGTGTCTGAACTTTATTCTAAAGGAGTAAGATTCACTTGTCCATGTTTACAACTCATACTGCAGCCTCTTGGATTAGGAAAACTAGACGCTAAAACAAACTGGTTGACTTCTACACAACTATACTCGTTGCATAAAGGGGAAAAAAAAGAATATTATAAATAAGTTACTAGTATAATTTTGTGTGTTAACATTCGCTTTTAATAATCTCAGCAACAATTAAACGTAGAATAAATGTGAATGGAGTCAGTCCTGTCTGAGGAAACAATGCTGTTGACAGCCCTAAACAAGATCTGAAGACGTAAAGAGCAAAAGGCCATCTTTGTGCTTTCCAAAAAGGATGGCCGTTTACTAACTAGTAAGCTTACCATGTTGGAGCCTGTGCAGCATCCACTCCACAGAAAATGAGAAGCATTCAAGTCTATTGAGTTTCAATCTGCTACCATTAACAAAAAAATAAAAACTGGAGTTGTGCAAAAGATTTGAATCTAATAAGCGTTTATCTCTTACCTGAAAAGGGTAGTTGTACCAGCACTGTCGTGTGTCCCAAAACCAGGGTGCCTAAAGGGGGAGGGAGAACAAAAAGTTATTATTCTGCTAGGTTTTTTTCTGCCCTATCACCTACAGTACTGTTCCACAGAAATTTCCTCCTGATTCTACCATCTATGCTAAATTTATTCTAAGATATTATGGGGCTTTAAAATATTCTTTCTGCAGCCAAAAGCAAGCTGTAATGCACATGGAAATTCCAAGAATAAACATACAGATCTAATACTAATGACTCAGAGATGAATATGTACCCCAGCAATGGGGAAAGAGAGAAGAAAAAAGCAGCAGGTTTCTTCTATTCTGGGGTAACTGGACAAAGAAAGTTTATAATATTTTCTTAAGATCAGGTTTTATAGAAGCTTAGAAGCTTTCCTATACTGTCAAGAAGGTCTTTAAAAGGAAACCCAAGGATCTCAAGTAAGGAAGCATAAAGATGACCATCACCACTAAACCCCTGTTGTTTTAAATTAGGTGCAAGTGCGGAAGAGGAGACGGGGGTAGTAAGACCACCTAAATTTTGGCAAGACAGACACAGTCCAGTACCATGCCACACAGAACAATGGTAAGGGAGGGCGGCAGGGGACAGGATGGGACGACAACTCACCGACCAGAGAAACCTGATTCCATATGAAAATATACTTAAATAAAATGTAAATCTCCACCTAGAAATAGAAGTAAAAATGAGATTAGAATAAAACATATGAAACAGAAATAGCTTCTGGTTAACACTGGTAACAAAAACAGGAACAACTGTGAAAACAACCAAATGCGACACCAGAAAAGCGTTCACCCACCAATTTGTAATCCTCCATTTGCAACCTTTTTCTGCATGAATAAACCTATTTAAGAATTTTCACACCATACTAGTTCACATCAACAGCCAAATTTGAAATAAAGCTCAGAGTGAACATGCGTCGTTCATATGCTTTAATATATAGTATCAAGTTAACAAGAAAAGCCATTGTTATCCAGAAGGTATCCTAATGTATGTATTGTCCCTCTTACCTTGTGGCTTTAAGTAGACAAAGCCATACTGGGGGGGAAGAATTAATATGAAGAAAATTACTGGAAAGGAAGAAATCAGCACAGAAGAAATAACAAGTCAGGGAAAAATATTCAGATGCTACTACACTAACAGAGGCAACTGTGAGTATTGAGAAAGAAACAAAGAACAAAAGAATGAACTGAAACGAAAAGAACCAGAATCCAAGAAGCGCCTATACAAAAGTACATACATCATTACATAAGTCCTGAGGACAGTCTGCCTGGGAAAACCACTGATCTACAACATAATTGTGCAGACAGCAGACTTAAGTATAACAACTCAAGTTGTGCACACGCATCTACATGCATGCACACACACACACACACACACTGAAGCGTTAGTGTCTGCATCAGGGATGTGGTACACTATCTAGAGCTGCTCATCTTTGACAGTTAGACAGGAATAAGTCCTGTACACATGGTCTGGGCTCTCATGCATACACACAAAGTACTTTAAAATACTGAGTTCTAAAAAGCCCTCCTAATTTCCTCCATTCTCCTATATGGGAGCTTATCTTCCACCAGCCAACCCCAAGACACTAGTTTAGGCTAACAGCTGACCACAATTTCAGTTAGAAAAGAAAATATACAACTGGAGCTTTAGGATGAAGCCAAATCTTGACTTCTGCACAAACATACATGCTCTCACAAAATTTAGTGAGGGTGGTGGGTTTGTCCTGGTTCCTCCGATGACGAAACCAGCGCTGGATCTTTCGAACATCCCAGTCTAGCTGCTTTGACAAGCCTTCTAATCTTTTTCCATCCGGAGACTAAAGGAAAATAAAACAAGTGTCATTTCTCCTACTTCTCAACCTGCCTTCACTCTGCGATTCTTCTCATCTGTACTACAATAGAAACGATGCACAATTAATGAAAAAAAAATTGTACAAGGAAGGTATTATGTACACAATATTACATTTTATAAGCAGGAACCTGTTACCACAGATGCTCATTCAAGTTTAATCTTCACATACGACTAATTACCTCATTATTCAGAATGCTTTTGTTTTAACATTTCCTCATCTATTTTGTCATTTGACGGTACATTATTACACAGAATGCAATTGTTCTGTCTCTTAACATGGGGGGGAGGAGTTTTTAAAATGTCCTGTCCTACCTGTTAAAACTTGCATACCAACTCAAACGGTCCAGAATTCAAGAAGATCAAAGCTGAATTGTGTTTAAGGGTTGCTACTCACTGTGAAGTTTCCTTAAACTTTAAGGTAAGATTTTGGGTTTAACATACAAAATACTTGCATATTCTAAAAGGGCATTATACAGATGGTAATATTTCTGTTATCAATTTTAAACTTTACAAATAGAATTAAATCCCAAAACTGAAATAATTGTATGACATAGAATATATCTTTGTTCTCTGACGGGGAACTGTACTGACAGTTTATCTGTTTGAATAATGACATATAAGTGCAGACAGAGTGAACAAAACCTGATAACTACCTCTAAAATGGCCCAGTGCTGAGGTAAGCCACATTAGTTTCAGACAAACTCTGCCAGGGAGCTCTTACAACTGAAAGATGATAAACATACTGATGATAAACTCACTACTTGAGTTACATACAGACCCAAAAAGCTATGCAGAATGCCGATTTAATAAAGAGTCACCAGACCTTTCAACTGAAAAGTAAAATAATCTGCCATTTGATTTGGAGTACTGAAACCACCACAACTTTCCTGTAATTCCATCACAACCAGACTTCTCTCCTCTTAACTAAACTTTAAAGATTCAGACTACTTGATACTTCTGCATTGAAAGTGGACCTGCCTCAAAAACAAAACAAAACAAAAAACACCCACCAGCTTATTTACAGAGTTCCAATTTGAGAACAGCAATGTAATCTTTCCTCTGCATCAGTGCCACCCTACCTTCTGATCCTCCAAATCCAAGCCAACAGCAGACACAAGCATAGCGGTAGAGTTAAATGCAGCCCTGTTCTTATGAGCTAGCTAAATTTTACACAGCATGCTTCCTCATGGGTTTCCTAAACATTAATTTCAAGGACATCCCCTACATAAAAGTCCTCCCCAGGAACGTCATCAAATCATAGGGGACTTTCAGTTCCAAATACCTTAAAACGTTATGCTCCCACGAGGAAAGTTTTACTATGGTTTTCATAGAATTTCTCTTGCATTCACTGAGCACTTTATCTGCTCCACTCAGAATGGAGTTCAGCATCACCAGATCAAAACATAAAACCTTCCATTTCATTATCTTTAATGAAAATCTATCATACTGTTAGTGTTGATTTAACTGCCAACATTCAATAGAGCGCAGACAGTGTAGCACTGTCATTCCAGAGTGAAGGAGCACTGTCAGCTTATGCTAAGCGAGAGAATGGCCATGAGAAACAATCAAAAGAAACACCGACCGTCATCATTAAACGTCCTATCCTTTATCAGGCGCACTTCCATTGACTGAATAGCTTTCCTTCTATAACTGGCTTCCACTGTGACAGCTGTTATCCAATTCCACAGTAGATAACAAAAATACGAGGAAGGCATTCACACAACTGGCCAATAAGACCAGCAAAGTAACAGCCCTCAAGAGAGTTTCACCTTTCCAATAGACAGCAAAAGACATTGGGAAATTTTTTACTAAAGCAAGAACTACTGCCTGTTACAGAAGTTACAACCTGGACAGAAAGACAGAGAACTCAAGGAAAAAAAAACTCACATCTTTCTAAAAAAAGAGAACTTTTTTGGTTCAGAAAATTCTTCTGTTTGCAAAAGCGCAGGTCAGGCATGAAGAGAATTTACTTTGCTACAAGAAAGAAGACATGTCAGAGGCAAAGTACAAACAGAAGGAGCGTGTTCCCCGTGCATGCACACTGTGAAATGTGTTTCTCTAGAACTAGAGAAGTGGAAAACAAAAGAAACCCAAGCTCTTACCAGCCTGCGCTTCTAGCAGAATTTCAAGTGTGACTCACCTTAGTGATGGATGTAAACACTTTCTCTAAAATTGCATTGGGCTGAGCTCTATGAGGTCCACTGTCTTGAATGCCAAGGTTTATGGCACATGGCTTGGCAATAAACCTGAAAGAATTCCAAAGAAAGAGCTAGATTAAAGTAAGATATCTATTTCCCTCCTCTTTGCCTAAACAACAATGACCCTGACTTGTCACAAACTGCCAAACCTATGCAAGAAGCTTTTGAAGGCCTCCACTCATTTTACTCAAAAAAACTTCTACAAGGCCACAAAATGGGCAAGGCTTCTTAGGTGAGGTTATATCCTTTATTAGTCCAACTGGTAATTGTAAACAGCACACGCAGTGCGCGCATCTCCTAAACAGAAGAATTAAAGCTTAAGGCCCTCGGCTTGTAGGACCAGGATGCGTTCCCTCAAGGGATTTACAATACTCAGAAAGGAAATAACAGATCACTGAAGAGAGCCCTCTGTGAACATAATTACTCGAGCTCTTGTAGAGCTACAAACAACGTGCCTCATTTCCAGAAGGCTTCTTGATGTCACATAGTGGTGAAAAAGGGGAAGTTCAAGTGACAGTTTCTAAAGGATAGAGACATCCTTTTTTTTTCCTCCTCTGGAAAATGAAATTAAGTGGCTTGTTTACTTAGAGAGAGTGGGAAAGATGTAAGAAGTCACTCAGTCTAAAAGCCCCAAGGTCCCACTATCTCCTTCAACCCCATATGCAACATGGATTCCAAACGCTGATTTAACGCTTTGTGAATTTTAAGAGCATAGACGCTTTCTCCTCTAAGAGGCATTGAAAACAAGACCATTTTTGCAACTAAAATGAAGATATACATATTCAAAAATAATTAGGTTTTGTTGAACCTTTGTGCCAAAATGGCCACAGGATTAAAAAAAAAAAAAAACCCATAAAAGCGTTACTGGAACATGTAAATAATTTTCCCTCCTACTGGAGGGCAAGGATTACAAAGAGCAGCAAAATTAAAAAGAAAAAAAATTAATTTGAGAGTGAGCAAAGAACTTGTTAGACAAGTAACAGACACACTGTGACTCTATGACCCTAAGTTTCACTGTC